ACTATACTGAGCATTAAATAACCTGCTCTACCTATCACCCTCCTACATTTAGTCCTACCTACCTCAAACACCTCAATCACCATTTCATCAGGTCAACTCCCCACTCAAAAATCTGTATGTAAGAGCTCCCTATTGCCTGAAGTAATTTTCAAACTGGGTAGCACTAATGGAGTAGAAGGCAGGAGTTTTGTAATTTTGATTCTAAAATACATCTTAGAAGAGTGGCTATCACATAAGTTAAAAAACAATTATTTTGAGTAATGAGAGATATTTCTGAAGAATGCATGCCAAGGACTGAATTGTTCCCCCACCACCACCACCAAATTCATATGTTGAAACTCTAACCCCTAGTGTGATGGTATTTGGAAATGGGACCTTCGGAAGGTAATTGGATTTAGATGAGATCATGAGGGTAGGACCTTCTTGATGAGATTAGTGTCCTTAAGAGAAAAGGCACAAGAGAGCTAGCACACATACTCTTCCCCCTACCCCTTACAGGTGAGGACATAGTGAAAAGGCAGCCATCTTCAAGCTAAGACAAGAACCCTCAACAGAACCCAACCAAGGTAGCACCCTGATATTGAATTTTCAGCCTCTAGATCTGTGAGAAAATACATTTTTATTGTTTAAGCACCAGTCTATGGTATTTTGTTATGGCAGCCCCAGCCAAGTAAGGCAATGTGTATGACCCATATTAACCATATGAAGGCACACACAATACATACATATATCTGATCACACAAACTCAAACACATTGATAAATACTGCTGTAGACTTCTGCTTACACCTATGAACAAGTAACTGCTATGGAAATTGCTCTCCTGACTTAAACAGATGAAAACATAGACAAAATAAATTAAGTAAATATTTTCAGACATTGGACTACAAGCAAGGCAAGATTATGTTCCCTTAGAAAAGGGAAATAAATGAAGTATTTATATGTTTGCCCTGTCTACCTCGATGTAACCTCCAAACTGCAGCACAAGGAGGAGTAGTCTGAAAAAAGCCTTGCAAAGTTTGAGGTTTGAGAAGCCCAAAGTAGGTAGAACTTGCAGAGCAGAATATTGAAAATAAGGGAGCTATATGAAGAAAGGGCTCCAGAAATCTGCATGGGGGTCCCCTCAATCCTTTGCCTGAATAAATGTCTGTACATGCATAAGGTGACACTCCATGATGCTAGGAAAGATTAGTAGAATGTGGTAAGCGAAGAAATTCCCAGAGCCCAAACAAATCTGAAAAATCATTTCAATTTTTATCAACCAGAATAGGTAGACCTCACCGAATTCACAAAGCATTCAGAGGACTCATGAGAAGAGTCATAGCTTAGTAATGTAGCAAAGGAGCCCTAGTATACTGGAGCCCTAAAGTATCCTCCAAACCTGCCCTGAAAAAAGCTTTAAAACAAACCTCAAGAGGGTCAATCTGATCTTTAAGTAACTTACCTGCCTGCCAAAATAAAACTGATCATGTTTTAAAGGAATGCAACAAAATCAAGCACTCAACAAAGAAATCTCACAATGTTCACTTTCCAATAAAAATAATTATTAGGTATATAAAATGTGACTCAAAACCACAAGGAAAGTCAGTCAATGATAGATCTAGACACAGATCTAGAAACGATAGATTTGATGGGGAATTTACAAAGACATAAAACAACAATTATAAGTGTCACAACTATGTAAAAGTATTTAAAAGAAAACATGAACATGTGAAGAGAGAAATGGAAAACATAAACAAAAGCAACATAGATCATCTAGAGATTAAAATTAAACTTGAAATGAAAAGTTCATTGAATGGGATTAAGAGCAGATTAAACACAGCAGAAGAAAAGATCAATAAACTTGAAGCCATAACAGTAGAAACTATCCTAATTAAGTACAGAGGGTAAGAGGAAGAGAAAAGACAAAAATAAAATACTAGTGTCTTAATAATTAGTAGAACAATATTGAGCTCTTCAGCATGATCTGGAGCCCTAGAAAGGAGGAGAAGAGAACAAAAACAAATTTGAAGACTTTATGGCTGAAATTTTCCCAAATTTTATAAAAATTATAAATTTACAGATCAAAGACACTGAACAAAGAGTCTAAGCATATAGTTTAAGAAGTCTAAACACACAGAAAACATCACGAGTGCACCTCATTATAAAATTTCTCAAAACCAGGACAAGGAGAATATCTTTTTGAAAAGCCAGGGGGAGGGGGTGACATACCACACAGAGGAATGAAAGTAAGATTATTGAGACTTCTTATCAAAAACAATGCAAGACAGGGGCGCCTGGATGGCTCAGATGGTTAAGCACCTGCCTTTGGCTCAGATCATGATCCCAGGGTCCTGGGATCGACCCCCGCATCAGGCTCCTTGAGCAGGGAGCCTGCTTCTCTCTCTCCTTCTCCTGCTCCCCCTGCTAGTGCTCTCTCGCTCTGTCAAATAAATAAATAAAATCTTAAATAAAAAACAATGCAGGGCACCTGGGTGGCTCAGCTGTTAAGCATCTGCCTTCGGCTCATGATCCCAGGGGCCTGGGATCCAGCCCCACATGGGGCTCCCTGCTCAGCGGGAAGCCTGCTTCTCCCTCTCCCACTCCCCCTGCTTGTGTTCCCTCTCTCACTGTGTCTCTCTTTGTCAAATAAATAAAATCTTTAAAAAATAATAAAATAAAAAATAAATTTAAAAAAATGCAAGACAGAGGACAATAAAATGACATCTTTAAAGTGTGAAAAGGGAGAAAAACTGTTAACCTAGACTTTTAAATCCAGTGAAAATATAAAAATTAAATAATGAAGTCAAAATAAATATTTTTTCAGACAAAGGCTGAGGTAATTTGTTGCCAGAAGATCCATAATCCAAGAAATGTAAATCCACTTTGCTGATTTGGATGCCTTTTATTTCTTTTTGTTGTCTGATTGCTGAGGCTAGGACTTCCAGTACTATGTTGAATAACAGTGGTGAGAGTGGACATCCCTGTTGTGGTCCTGACCTTGGGGAAAAGCTCTCAGTTTTCCCTGTTGAGAATGAAATTCATGTGGGTCTTTTGTATATGGCTGTTATGATATTGGGGTATGTTCCCTCTATCCCTATACAGTGGAGAGTTTCTATCAAGAAAGGATGTTGTATTTTGTCAAATACTTTTTCTGCATCTATTGAGAGGATCATATGATTCTTGTCCTTTCTTTTATTAATGTGGTGTATCACACTGATTGATTTATGGATGTTGAACCACACTTGCAGGTCAGGAATAAATACCACTTAATTGTGGTGTATGCTTCTTTTAATGTACTGTTGGATTCAATTTGCTAGTATTTTATTGAGAATTTTTACATTCATGTTCATCAGGGATATTGGCCTGCAATTCTCGTTTTTAGTGGGGTCTTTCTGATTTTCAAGGTAAAGCTGGCCTCATAGAATGAGTTTAGAGGTTTTCCTTCCAATTCTACTTTTTTGAAACAGTTTCAGAATAGGTATTAATTCTTCTTTAAATGTTTGGTAGAATTCTGCTGAGAAGCCATCCTGCCCTGGACTCTTGTTTGTTGGGAGATTTTTGATTACTGATTCAATTTCTTTGCTGGTTATGGGTTTGCTCAGGTTTTCTATTTCTTCCTGTTTCAGTTTGGGAAGTTTATATGTTTCTAGAAATGTATCCATTTCTTCCAGATTGCCTAATTTGTTGGCATATAATTGCTCATAATATTCTCTTATAATTGTTTGTATTTCTGGGTGTTGGTTGTGATCTCTCCTCTTTCATTCATGACTTGATTTATTTGGGTCCTTTCTCTTTTCTTTTTGACAAGTCTGGCTAGGGGTTTATCAATCTTATTAATTCTTTCAAAGAACCAGCTCCTGATTTCACTGATCTGTTCTACTGTGGGGTTTTTTTTTTTTTTAATTTCTGTCATTGGTTTCTGCTCTAATCTTTATTACTTCACTTCTCCTGCTGGATTAAAGCTTTATTTGCTGTTCTTTTTCCAGCTCCTTCAGGTGTAAAGTTAGGTTGTATATTTGAGACTTTTCTTGTTTCTTGAGGTAGAAAACCAAAAAGACTACACCTAAAAATTGCTAGAACTGATACAGGAATCCATCACAGGATAGAAAATCAATGCACAGAAGTTAGTTGCATTTCCATACACTAACAATGAAGCAGAAGAAAGAGAAATCAAGGAACTGATCCCATTTACAAATACACCAAAAGCCATAAGATACCTAGGAATAAACCTAACCATAGAAGTAAAAAATCTGTACTCTGAAAACTATAGAACACTTATGAAAGAAATTGAAGATGACACAAAGAAATGGAAAAACATTCCATGCTCATGGATTGGAAGGACAAATATTGTTAAAATGTCTATACTACCCAAAGCAATCTACACATTCAATATAATCCCTATCAAGATACCATCAACATTTTTCACAGAGCTGGAACAAACAATTCTAAAATTTGTATGGAACCACAGAAGAATCCAAATAGCCAAAGTAATGTTGAAAAAGAAAACCAAAGCTGGAGGCATCACAATTCCGGACTTCAAGCTATATTATAAAGCTGTAGTCATCAAGACAGTATGGTACTGGCATAAAAACAGACACATAGATCAGTGGAACAGAATAAAGAACCCAGAAATGGACCCTCAACTGTATGGTCAACTAATCTTGACAAAGCAGGAAAAAATATCTAATGGAAAAAAGACAGTCTCTTCAATAAATAGTGCTGGGAAAATTGGACAGCTACATGCAGAAGAATGAAACTGGACCATTTCCTTACACCACACACAAGCATAGACTCAAAATGGATGAAAGAACTAAATGTGAGACAGGAATCCATCAAAATCCTAGAGGATAACACAGGCAGCAACCTCTTTGACCTCAGCCACAGTAATTTCTCGCTAGACACATCTCCAAAGGCAAGGCAAACAAAAGCAAAAATGAACTATCAGGACTTCATCAAGACAAAAAACTTTTGCACAGCAAAGGAAACAGCCAATAAAACTAAAAGGTGGTGGCTATCTGCTCCCCACCCCCAAGTCCACTGCAATGCCCCCCACCTGCTGGTTTCCACACGCTTTTCTTCCTTCTGACCCTTCTCAGGTCTCCTCAAGGCGATCTGTCCCCGATCGCCCTAGCTCGCTGCTGTCGTCTGGAGGAAAAAATGAATGGGAGGGCTGATTTTCGAGAGCCGAATGCAGAAGTTCCAAGACCAGTTCCCCACATAGGGGCTGATTACATTCCAACAGAAGAAGAAAGAAGAGTCTTCACAGACTGCAATGATGAAATCTTCTGGTTCAGATCTGTTCCTTTGGCTGCAACAAGTATGTTGATTACTCAAGGATTAATTAGTAAAGGAATCCTTTCAAGTCATCCCAAATATGGTTCCATCCCTAAACTTATATTTGCTTGTATCATGGGATACTTTGCTGGAAAGCCTTCTTATGTGAAAACTTGCCAAGAGAAGTTCAGAAATCTTGGGAATTCCCCTCTGGGAAAAGCTTTACGCTCAGCTTTACAGTCACGGCGATCTTCACCATCTGGGCACTATTCTCAAAAGTCAAAATATGACTCAAATTTGGGTGGTCATTCATCTTTTGTGACATCTCCAGCCACAGACAACATAGAAAAAGAGATGCTTCCTCATTATGAGCCAATTCCATTCAGTGCTTCTATGAATGAATCTACTCCCACTGGTATTACTGATCATATTGCTCAAGGACCTGATCCCAACCCTGAAGAAAGTCCTAAGACAAAAAATATTACATATGAGGAATTAAGGAATAAGAACAGAGAGTCATATGAAGTAACTTTAACACATAAGACTGACCCCTCAGTCAGGCCTATGCAGGAAAGAATGCCAAAAAAAGAAGTCAAACTAAACAAATATGGAGATACTTGGGATGAGCAAAAAATTGCATCTTTGGACCTACTGAAAAGGCGTTTCAATATGCAGCTTCATCTACGTGGTCATGAATATCTGCATGCTTTGAGCTCAGCAGCAGTCTTCATAAACACATTTAAAACTAGAACCTGGGTTCTTGTGGTTTGGCTTATTAAAATGATGTTTAAAAACACAGATTTTAATGTGAATGTTGTGTGAATGTATTCACCTTGAGGAACTGTATGAATGATGCTACATACCATGATCACATATAGTTTGTGAAATCGTTTTAAGTTACAGGGTAAGGATACTTTCTTATGAAACTACAAAGAGATTGTCTACTCTAGGATCAGCATATATGAAAATAAGTATCTGCATGTTGAATTGGGGTGGGTGGGGGGGAGCAAGCATAATTTTAAGTGTTAAGCTTTATATCCAAAAATTATTAAAAAGCCTATCTCCAGTGTTTGCTGTATTCACTTATTAATGTTTATGGTAAATAAAACATAAAGAAAAAAACTAAAAGGCAACATGCAGAATGGGAGAAGATATTTGCAAATGTCTTATCAGATAAAGGGCTAGTATCCAAAATCTATAAAGAACTTATCATATTCAACACCAAAAACAAAAAATCCAGTCAAGAAATGGGCAGAAGACATGAACAGACATGTCTCCAAAGAAGACTTACAAATGGCAAACAGACACATGAAAAAATGCACAACATGACTCAGCACTGGGGAAACACAAATCAAAACCACAATAAGATACCACCTCACACAAGTCAGAATGGCTAAAATGAACAACTCAGGAAACAACAAACATTGGGAGGATGCTGAGAAAGAGGAACCCTCCTACACTGTTGATGGGAATGGAAACTGGTGCAGCCACTCTGAAAAACAGTATGGAGTTTCCTCAAAAAGTTAAAAATAGAACCACTCTACAATCCAGCAATTGCCCTACTAGGTATTTATCCAAAGGATACAAACATAGTGATCCAAAGGGGCACATGCACCCCAATGTTTATAGCAGCAATGTCCACAATAGTCAAAATATGGAAAGAGCCCAGATGTCCATATATATATGTATGTATGTGTGTGTGTGTGTATATATGATGTAATATTAGTCCTCAAAAACAATGAAATCTTGCCATTTGCAATGACATGAATGGCACTAGAGGGTATTATGTTAAGTGAAAGAAGTCAGTCAGAGAAAGACAATTACCATATGATTTCACTCATAAGTGGAATTTAAGAAAAAAAACAGATGAACATAGGGGAAGGGAAGGAAAAATAAAATAAGATGAAACCAGAGAGGGAGACAAACCATAAGAGACTCTTAACCATAGGAAACAAACTGAGAATTGCTGGAGGGGAGGGGGTGGGGGGTGGGGTAACTGGGTGATGGGCATTAAGGAGGGCACTTGGAGTAATGAGCACTGGGTGTTATATGCAACTGATGAATCACTAAATTCTACCTCTGAAACTAATAATACAGTATGTTAATTAAATTGAATTTAAATAAAAATTAAAAAAAAAGAAATGTAAATCTGTTATCATTTAGGAAGAAGGAAAATAATACCAGATGGAAACTTGGAGCTATCCAAAGAAAGGAAGAAAGTTAAAATAATAAGTATAAGAATAAATGTAAAAATCGTTTTTTTTCATATTTTAACTTCTTAAAAGATAACTGTTTAAAGAATTAAACAATGTATTGTGGAGTTTATAACACTTGTGGAAGTAAAATGTATGCCTATACTAACACAGAGGACAGGAAAAGGAAACAGAAGTATATTATTTTAAAGTTCTTATATTACATAGGAAGTGGCACAATATTATTTAAAGGTAGACTATTTTAAAGATGTATATTGTAAATCTAGAGCAAGCACCCTCCCCCAAACACACACACATATACATAAACAAGAGGTATAGCTAGTGAGCCACTAGTTGAGAGAAAACAGAATACTACAAAATACTCAATCCAAAAACAAGGTAGAAAAAGAGGAAAATATAAATAAAGAACAGATTTAAACAAATCGAATAAGAAAAATAGATTTAGATTTAAATCCAGCTGTATCAATAATTACATTAAATACAAATGATCTAAATAGTCCAGTTAAAAGTCAAAGAAATTATCAGGCTGAATAAAAAAGCATACCCCAACAGAAGAAATCAGCATTAAATATAAAGTGAAAGATAAGTTAAAACTAAAAATATGTTTAAAAGGTATATGATGGAAAAACACTAATCAAAAGAAAACTGGAATGCCTATGTTAATACCACAACAAGAAATACAACAAAGGATAAAGAGACACATTTCATAATGACAAAAGGGTCACTTCCTCAAGACATAATAATCCTAAATGATTGGCCCCTAACAACAGTTTTATAATAGAGAAAGCAAAATAGTTTGAAGTGAAAGGAAAAATAAACACATAATTATAGTTAGAGATTTCAACAGGCCTCTTTCAGTAATTGATAGAATAAGTAGACTAAAAATTCAATAAAAATACAGAATACTCAAACAACACTTGAATCAACTTGAATTAATTGACATTTATAGAATACTCCACTCAGCAGCATGTACTCAGAGAACTTACAATTTTCTCTGACCACAAGAGAATGAAGAAATCAACAACAGAAATTTTATCTGGTGAATCTCAAAGTGTATTGAAATTAAACAAAATTATTCCAAATAATCCATGTGTCAAATAAAAAATCATAAGGAAAAATTTTTAAATATCTTAAATGACAATGAAAACACAGATATCAAAATATGTGGCATGCAATTAAAGCAGAACTTACTAGAAAATTCATAACTTTTAACACTTACATTGGAGAAGAAAGTTCTAAAATAACTTATCTAAGCTCCCACCTTAAGCTAGAAAAAAGAACAAATTAAACACAAATTAAGAAGACAAATTAAATAATAAAAATAAAAACAGAAACCAATAGCATAGAAAATGCATAAAATAGAAAAAAATTGATAAAGATGTCTGGTTGTTTGAAAAGATCATTAGCAGTAGCATCAAAAAATGTGAAATATTTAGGGAAAATTTAAACAAAATATGTGCAAAACCTGTACACCAAAAAATACAAAACACTGTTGGATAAACTAAAGTAAGCCTAAATAATTGGAGAGCTATGCCATGCTTGTAGACTGGAAGACTTTGTACTTTAACATGTTAATTCTCCCTAAATTGATCTATAGATTCGGATTGGGATTCCAATGAAAATGTCAGCAGGTTTTCTTGTAGAACTTGACAAGTTGACTTTAAAATTTTTAGGGAAGTTCAAAGTACTTAGAATATCCAAGACAATTTTGAAAGAGAATAATAAACTTGGAAAAGTTACACTACTTGATTTCAAGACTTACTATAAAGCTATGTATATGACCCAATTTTAAAGAGATATGTGTGTATGCATAGTTGTGGTGTGTGTGTCTGTATATATATATATATCCAGAAATAAATCCACACACATCTGGGTCAATTATCACTTTTGACCGAAATGTCAAGGGAATCCGATGGGGAAAAAATAGTTGTTTCAACAAATGTTGCTGGAACAGTTGAATCTCAACCCTTCCCTCACATCATACCAAAAAAAGCAACTTGATATGGATTGTAGACTTAAATGTAAAAGCTAAAACTATAAAACTTCTAGAAGAAAACATGGAGGAAAATTTTTGTGACCTTAGGTTAGGCAAAGACTTCTTAGAGTATATAAAAAGCATGAACCATGAAAGAAAAAAAATTGGTAAATTGGCCTTCAACAAAAATAAAAGTTTCTGCTTTTTAAAAGGCACCATTACAAAAACAAAAAGGCAGGACATACAGGAAAATATTCACAACACATATGCACATATGTGTGACAAAGGATCAATATCCAAAATATTTGAAGAATGTCTCAAACCCAATAACAAGACAACCAATTTTTTATCTTTGAATACTTTACAAAATAAGATATATAAATCTCAAATACATGAAAATATGTTTCTCATCATTAGTCATAAATAAAATCTAAGTTCAAATCACAATGAGATACCAACACCCACTAGCATGGCATATATTTAGAAGACTGACCACATTAAGTGTGAGGATATGGAGCAACTAGAATTTTCATACATGGCTGGGGTTATATATAATGTTTCAATCACTTTGAAAACAGTTTGGCAGTTTCATAAAAAGTTAAGTATACACTTATACAACCCAGCAGTTCCAGTCTTAAGTATTCATCCAAGAAAAATGAGAATGTATTTCCACAAAAAGAATTGTACACAAATGGTTACAAAAAGTTTACTTCTAATAGTTCAAAACTGGAAACAACTGAAATATCTAACAACTGGTAAATTGGTAAGCAAATTTTAGTACATCAGTAAAATGGAATACTAGTCAGCATTTTTCTTTAAAACTATATACTACATACAAAATGGATACACCTCAAAAACATTATGTTAAGCCAAAGAAGCCAGTCTCATACAAGGACTTACTATTTGATTTTATTTATAAGAAATTCTATAAAAGATAAGTTTATGCTATATTTTTTGCCTCGTATTATGAGCGGTAGGGGTATTGGTTGCAAGGCAATATGAGAAAACATTTTGGGGTAATAGAAATGTTTTATAACTTGATTGTGGTGGTGTTTACTTGGGGGTATATATTTGTCAAAGCTCATCAAAATGTGTGAAATTTATCTTATGCAAATTATGAAGCTGATTTAAAAAAAAAAAAAAACTGGTCCCGGGAACCAACCCAGGCTCTCTCAGACTTACATTCAGGACCTCCAAAACTCCTTCCCACACGATTTTTTCAGCCTTATTTTTCATATGCCCCACATTCAAAATAATCCTCAAATACAAATTGGCTTATAGCCTGTCCTCCCTAAATAAGACTATTCATCACTCCTACTCTTAGCTTCCTGAGCTTACATAAACCCTCTTCAGTCTGCAGAGCCTAGATTGATGACCACTCCTTTCACAAAGCCTTCCTCTAGATCACCCTGATTCGTCTATCCTTTGTTATTTATACTGCTGTTACTGTTCAGGTCATTCATGATTCATT